CACCGGTTCTGTGGGAATGGCTTTGTGGGCGTGGCAGGGGAAGGTTACTGCAAAATCCCCATTCCCTCCCCACCCCACCAACCTGCTTTCCAGCTCCGTTCTCCTGTTCAGGGCAACAAAAGAAGATCGGCTGTGAGGCAGTGGGGGCGGGGCCAGCCTATTTGCCGGTTCTCCAAACCACTCAAAATTTCCGCTACTGATTCCCCAGAACCTGTCAGATCTGGCTGAATACCACCTCTGGGTGTCATGCCTAAATCACAGTGACATGTACAGTAACGGTCATAAGTATAAGAACCATTCGTAAGTCACTTTTTCCATGACTTCATGGAAAATGGCTTAAAACACTTGCTAAATATGGCCGTAAATTGAGAATTGCTTCAGCCAACTATGAGCACAGATGCCGGCTGCTGATATCCGATGGAGTGTTTCGCTATTTCTTCATTGCTTCATGGCTTATTTATTCATTTCTTATCAGAGGTGGGAAAATGGTCATTTCTGCTTCCTGACACCGAGGAGATGCGCGAAAGCAGCACATTGTCTTTAATAAGTGCAAAGCAAGGATACAACGAGGACAAGTAGCCCTCAAATTAAGGTAAAGGTTCCCCTCGCACGTATGTGCTAGCCGTTCCCGACTCCAGGGGCGTTGCTCATCTCCGTTTCAAAGAGCCAGCGCTGTCCGAAGACGTCTCCATGGTCATGTAGCCGACATGACTCAATGCCAGAAGGCGCATGGAACGCTGTTCCCTTCCCACCAAAGGTGGCCCCTATTTTTCCATTTGCATTTTTATGTGCTTTCGAACTGCCAGGTTGGCGGAAGCTGGGAGAAGTAACAGGAGCTCACTCTGTTACGTGGTGCTAGGAATTCGAACTGCTAATCTTTCTGATTGACAAGCTCAGCGTCTTAGCCACTGAGCCACCACGTCCCTAGTCCTCAACTTACAACGCTGAAAAAAGTGACTTGTGGCCGTTTTTTCAGATCTACAACCATCATGACATTCCCCACAGTCACATGTTCAAAATTCAGAGGCTTGGCAACTGGCATGCCTTTATGACAGTTGCTGTGCCCCAGGATTCATGCAAACCCCTTTGGCCACAAGTGAAGTCAATGCGGGAAGCCAGACTCCCTTAACGACCGTATTACCAACTTAACAATCACAGCGATCGGAGCCTGACTCTGCGGAGGAAGGTGAGCCGGGACTGGAGCAGAGGGAGATTGAGGGGGCGGCTTCATTGGCTTGGGAAGAAGATGGGGAGGAGCAGGGCCAGGCAGACCACGGCCTTTCAGGATTGGGATGGCTTGTAGGCAGGGAGGAAGGGGTAGGGGGTAGAATGACCAAGAGAGGCTAAGCAGTGAACATGAGAGGCAGTGCTCAGGTAAGGACCACTCCCTCCTGATCCTCAAGCATGGAGAGTGGGGAGAAGGCGGGAACAGCGCAGACTAAGTCGCCGGCTACTCGGGGGGGGGGGGAGAGCACCCCGCCCCAAGGCACACCTGGGGACTGAGGCACACCTGGGGACTGAGACTTAAGGAGACGCTGTGGGGAGGGGCAATTGCGGGAACAAACACTGAATTCCTGGAGTATTTGAACTTTCCTGGATTCCTTGCATTCTTTCTGGATGTCTTGCTTTGCAGCCATGGTGCTCACAGCTTTGAGCTGGGGCCGTGATTGCAAAAGTATGACACGCGTGCCCAAAGTGGCACACAAAGCCATGTCGCCCAGCATGCACGGCCTTGCCTGTTTGTCTTCTGGGTTTCTGGCATGCATGCACGCGCAATGATCAGCTGTCCTTCCTGTGCGCAGCAGTGCCAAAAACCGCCCTGGACATGTGTGCCGGCCAGCTGATCGTTGGGCACGTATGCGTGCTAGAACCCGGAAGTTTGGCTTTTCCGGAGCACAGTCCCGACAAGCATGTATGCGCGTTTGATGTTCCCACATGACACATCACTGGGCTAGAGGCAGAGAGAGGGGGGGAGGGGAGATCACTTTGCTTTGGGACTTGTCAGAAAAGTGGGAGCGTTTGGGGAACATTCGGAGCCATAAAGGGGTGGTTTGAACTGCCAGCTGCCTGTGTTACCTCTGTGCCATTCCCCCGAGTCATCACAGATTCCCTGAACAACTAAGGCAAGACAGGTCGTAAAACGAGGCAAAACTCACTGAATTGTCTCGCTTAATGGCAGAAATGTTGCTTAGGGGCACCTTTGCGGTCGCGAGTCGAGGCCTACCTGTGCCATGCAAGGCGCTGCAACACAACACACAACACACACATGCACCAGCACACATGTAATTGTTTAAGCCAACCCCACACCGCTAATGAGCCCCATCTGGATGGGTGTTTGAGGAAAGGAGCAGTCCGGCTTCCTCCCTCTTGTCCCGAGGGGGAAACATTTTGCCATTCAGAACTGCCAGGAGGCAGGCTTGCAAAAGGGAAAGAGGAAATTCTCCGAATTCCAAAGCCAGCAGTGAGATTTGTTTGTGCGCCCACAGGAGCGACCAGCGCTTCCTCGCCGGGGACACACAGAGAGGGGCAGGAAAGCTCACTCGATTTCCCCAGGCGGATGGAGCAAGAGGGGGTCCGGTGGGGGAGAGCCGCCATGGCTGCTGTCCTGGCTTGGCCTTCGCTTTGTCTCCTCTGGGGAGGACGGGGGGTCTCTGCTCTTCTTTTTCTTGGCAAAGAAGTTCTTGAAGGTCTGGAATTTGGATTTTTTCTTCCCTGGGCAAAACAAAACAATCAACAATCAACAAATCCCACCAGCTTAGATTGGTTTAATACGACTTCACAGTGCTTTACAGCCCTCTCTAAGCGGTTTGCAGAGTCAGCTATTGCCTCGCAACAATGTGGGTCCTCATTTTACGACCTTTTATGAAGGATGGAAGGCTGAGTCAACCTTGAGCTGATGAGGATCAAACTCTTGGCAGGGAGCAGAGACAGACTGCATTGTAATAACTGTGCCACTACGACTTCCTTCCTTCCTTCCTTCCTTCCTTCCTTCCTTCCTTCCTTCCTTCCTTCACAAGTCAACCTTGAGCCAGTCAGGACCGAGCTCCCCGCAGTGGACAGAGTTAGCCTGCTATAGCAAACGATAGCAATAACAACAGCAACAACACTTAGAGTTATATACCGCTTCACAGTGCTTACAGCCCTCTCTAAGCAGTTTACAAAGTCAGCCTCTTGCCCCCAACAATCTGGGTTCTCCTTTTACCAACCATGGAAGGACAGAAGCTGAGTCAACATTGAGCTGGTCAGGATCAAACTGCCGAACTGCTGGCAATCGGGAGTTAGTAGGATTAGCCTGCAGTACTGCATTCTAACCACTGTGCCACCACGGCTTAGCTACAGCTGCGAATCTAACCTTGATATGCCAAGCCTGTGATTTTCCTCCTTTTATTACATTTTGGATTACTGAATTGCATTTCAGAGCTCCATGGAAAAGTATCCACGAAGGGCTCCCCGGTGCTCTCTTAGCTTGGTTGATTTCTTGCAGACATTTCATTACCAAACTAGGGAATGTCATCAGTGATAGAAGTGAGGAGGCTGTGGTGGTGTAAGAGGAGGAGGGGGAGGGGAAGAAAAAGGAGTAAGAAGGGGAGGAGGAGGGGAAGGGGGAGAAAAGGGAAGGAAAAAGGAGGAGGAGGGGGAGGGGAAGAAAAAGGAGTAAGAAGGGGAGGAGGAGGGGAAGGGGGAGAAAAGGGAAGGAAAAAGGAGGAG